CTCTCTCTCTCTCTCTCTCTCTCTCTCTCTCTCTCTCTCTCTCTCTCTCTCTCTCTCTCTCTCTCTCTCTCTCTCTCTCTCTCTCTCTCTCTCTCTCTCTCTCTCTCTCTCTCTCTCTCTCTCTCTCTCTCTCTCTCTCTCCTTGGGGAAAACATCCATGTATTCAAATCAGTACAGAAGTTTATTTAAGACAGTGGCAGGTTCCAATCTCTCTCTCTCTCTCTCTCTCTCTCTCTCTCTCTCTCTCTCTCTCCTTCGTTATTTTCGTTATCAATTTGTGTAAAATCTATTGATGTTGCCATGTACACTGTATAAAATATATCTGGGAGAAGGCTTCATAAGTTGGAATAACTTGTGCCTAATCCATTTGCAAATTTCTGCAATAAAATATGTTTAAATCATATTAGCAAATGATGACATGTCCCCGGTAACGATGAGATGATGTCACAAGCTTGTGTAATAAGACAATAATAGTGGCATTTTTCCAAAAGTGACAAAAATTGTAATGAGATTCTCAACAAAGTGCTTCTTTTGAAGACTTCAGCTCCATTTTACCTATTTATCATTGTATTTTAAATACAGTTCATATAAAATAAGCAACAACAGCTTCTTGTCAAAAAAAACAAAGCATTGTGCTGAAAAGTAATTTGGTCACCAGGACTAACTGTCCCTACCCCTTAATGTTATTTAGATAAATTTATCAGCTCACCTTACCTGTGTAAGGTGAATAGCATACCTGACCAGGTATAACTACCTGGGTACAATACAGTACCAGGTGCTGTATAGGATCACAGTACTGACCCCAGGCATCCTGTGGTTATCTGGCATCTAACAGATAGATCCTTACCTGTGTGCCAAATAACTGTAAAAAGCTGTAAGTTCTCCTATAGCGTACATAATGTCCTGGTGTCACAGATTTACCTGAGGCTACATACAGGTGAGGAGATGATTGAATTATCCCTCCTACCTGGATAGGTTACCCCTGGATATACCTGTAGTAGGTATATGTATCTGTGGTTCATAGATAAAAGGGGGTAGCCTCGTCTGCTGGATAACCGAACTACTCCGTAGTGAAGCCGATGTAAAACCAATCAATGAATCAGCAATCAAGATAAAAGGGGATGTAGTGGAGACATGTACACATGTGTCAGTACTTTTGTTCCTATTGAAGGGAGGGGGTGGAACACACAGGTATCAGTACTTTTGTTCCTATTGTAGGGAGGGGGTGGAACACACAGGTATCAGTACTACTGTCTGTCTTCTTTCATTGTAAGGCGGTAATAGGTTACATTAAAATGATAGAGGAAGGACGTACATTACACCTGTGTATATGAAAGGAAAAGGAGGATTTGGGGAGGGAGAAACACAGGTATACCAAAAGAATATGAATGTATTATGAACATGAACATATTATGTACTAGCTGAGCATGCATTTTCACTTGTACAGGTGAAAGAAATACATTATACAGGTAATTTTTATAACAGTTTCCCAGCTGTGATTCATCCTGAGAGATGGCATTTCAATATTTGTCAATAATATTTTGAAAGCAAATTACTCGATATTTATCAATCATATAATTTGGCAAATGTTAGTTTCAAGTCCATATACAATATCTTCCTCTTCACAAATTTTCTGTCCTTCATCAATGATGGTTTTAATGGGAGTGCAACATAGCAAGAGTTTTATTTACAATGATTTTTTTTCTTTTTCTGTTATTTGCAGTTTGCCATAAAATAAAATAAAATGTTTAATGTAATACACAATTCTGCTATTTTGATGAATGCATACTTTAAATCCTTTATATAAAGCATAATTTCTTTATCAAAGATAAAATGCTTTAGTTGTTTACTTTTGTCTGGGTTCAATAACTATGTTTACCTGTTGTGTGAGGAAGGTCCATCTGTCCTGTTGCAGTCGATCCCGATACACCCCCGGAACACGATCCCACACCTCTGTTAGGCTCATCATACTGCCATCTGATTGGACAAGAGGGGTCAATATAACGTTGATATGTTGGGATATTGACCACACAAAGTCAATATGACATTGGGGACAATGATCATTATAAGTTAAAAATAATACATCTTTTCTTTTAAAAAAGCCTAGTGCTTATATATATGTTACTTCATTATCAGAATTCCATGGAGGTGGATCAATATGTTGCCTACCACCACTGGCCAGAACTCCATCTCTGGTATGAGGGTGGAAATGTAGCGATACGGTTACGCTCCAGTCAGTTGAAGGTGTTGGAATCTTTTTCAAGAAACTATTTTCTTTTGAAAAACCTGCAGTTCAAACTTCAAGTGGTTCAATCACTAGCTTATAATTGTTTTTACCAGGTTTTTACAAAAGTTTGTTTGAAATACCTGCTGTTCAAATTGATCGATGGTGTAACAAAATGTTCTGCCCACCATAGATCTCCTAAGGCTTTTTCAACTTTACCAGAATTGTTCCTCACAAGTAAAATAACTCAATGGCAATTAAGGGGCAACTAAAAAAACTGCTTCTTCAGTAGCAACTAAACATACTGAGTGAAGTATAACCACAATTTCACACACTTTGTTATGCACTACTACAGGATTTTTCACACACTGAAGAAAGGCAAGTAAACATGTCAAAGAAAAAAGGTTGGGTTTTGTCTTGTTTTTGTTAAATATTCTTGTATTAGCTAAGAACACTTATTTGGACAGGTGCCTATAGATAACATAAAAAAGAAAGCAGGAAAGATTGGTTTGGTTTGATTGTGCTTTGCCTTATATTAACAACCATAGTCATTTAAGGACGTACCAGGTTTAGGAAAGGAAAAAGGTACCTGGTTTATACACGTTGAAGTAAAGGACAGGAACATTGTAACTGCGGCTGTAAACGATGTGGTACTCATACACTAGGTGGACAGGGACTGTGGTGTCAGTGGTGGAAATCTCACTGCTAGGGTTGTCTGCCCCTGATCCAAGGCAGGCACTGTCTTCCTCTTCCTCTGTTGTGACCTGGTGTAATGGAAGATAGATTGATGAGAAAATGAACATTAAATTGAGGAAGAATATCAAGCCTACAGTATGAAACAATAAATTGAAAGTGAGAAACATGACAGAATAAATCTTTTGAATGATAAACTATATATATATGCATGTAAATTATTTCACGCCAGATTTAGGCTGTTAATTATTTCATTAATGCAACTTTTTTCGGTCTGAAGACATTAGAAGGTAAAGCTTCAAGTACTGTACAAGAGTCATAAGTTGACATAACTTAACAAATATAGGAACATTCAAGGAGACCTCCGACTGCATGTCTACACATAACCACCAACAACACATAAAGTGTATGACACTTCAGCTGCTAGCTTCTAAACAAGATTGATTGATGTTTGTAGAATATCTTCACTTACAACGTCACTATCTTCTGTAAGTTGAGAATGAGTTTTGGTGACACCATCAGGAGGAACTGACCCACACACTTGGTCACAACTCCTAAGTTTGTCCACAACACTGACCCGCTTGTACAGGTAAACCTCCTTCTTGTCAAACTGAAATAGAAATGAAAACAGTGGTAAATTCATAATAGTGTTTAAGGTAGACATATGTTATCCCCCGACTAAATCCGGTCAGGTCTAACTTCACACTATGGGTAGGTAAATCTGATGACAACAATTTCATCTTTTGTATTGCGGTGAAAAAGAAGGTACTGTCATAAAGGTAAGTACTTTGAATTTCATATTTGAAAACTTTGATGGAGCATTTATATAGAAGGAAGACCCATTAAATTCTCTTCAGGTATGGAATTTTAGTGTAGCATACTCCAGAATTCACTAGAGATCCATGCATACTTAGGTAAACGCAAAAATTTACTGGGCACCACACCAATATTTTATTTTGATAGATTTATGTATGTTGTACCAATGAATGTTCCTTAAACATAAAAATACATACATGTAGTTGAATTTGTAACAAGCTATTTGATTGGTTAAGATTTTTATTTTTTTATGTCTCAATAAAAACTGTATTTTTATCAGTCAGTGCTAAATGAAGGGGACAAATAAATTGCTGGGAAAACAAAAGTTGTTGTACTTTGTCTGTCTCAATAGACCCAATGCAAATGAAGATATATGCAGAGCTTTAATTATACTTTTATGAGTTTACGTGGAGAAAATACAAATTCATGCACAGTGTTACTTTATTAGAAAAGATGGTTGCCAAAGTACATTTTTTTTGCTGCCAAGGGGGATAACTCCAACACTCTTACATAGGATTTTTTACCATGTATATGAATCTATCTTTTATATGTGAGTTTTTTTCTGGATCTAAAGACAAATGCTTTTCAGGGGAATATTATAATACACAGTTAGAACCATGCTTCACCAGAGAACAGCTGAAACACAGTCAGATTGTTATCCTGATTTTCTAATTGTTATGCATTAAACAATGTCATCGTGTTTTGATACACTTCAAAACCCCATCCCCACCAACTGTAAGCTTATTAAGGCCTTTTGGTTTCCCCTGTGCTTATATAGGAAAGATAAACTTCCAAATGAAGGGGTCCCAGGATTACCTTTTCTAAACATTTAATTATACTAAATGCGTACATTTATAACTGTAATTTACCTCTTCTTTTATTGGCATTAAGCACACTTAGTATGTTTTTTCTATGTAAATCGGGTCAGAAAAACAAACCTATTCCAAATGCATTTTATTTCCAAAATGTACTTTCAAATTCTCTTTGAGTAAAAATGCAAGGAACATCTTTCAAAAAGAACTGATTTCAAAAGTGATAAATGGCAGTGATAATTTTAAATATTGCAAAGCATATGGACACACCTGAAGCTTTTAAATTTAGATTGTTTTTCACAATCAATTAGGGTTATTATCACCAAATTTGAAATATATTTAGATCTACCTTGGAATATTATTGAAGTACCAATAGCACTTTATAAATACTGAATCAGATTGACAGTTAACAGTATAGCATACATGTTTACTATATATTATGTGATAGTGATGGAAGTTGAGGTTGCATAAACAAACAAGCAGTGCAGGCCAATTGTTGAGATATATGGAGTCATTTAATGATGATAAATATGACCTTGACCTTGAAGGTATAACCTTGACCTTCAACTGGTCTATAAAGACTGATGTCTGAAGAATTGCGTGTGTAACATTAAGTCAGCTGAAAACTTTAGTCAGATAAACCTGGAATGGCCCATCTCCCTACCGTTGTGTATCATCACATCATGTCAACATTCTGTAAAAATTACCTCTGAGCCTTCAAACTATTTTAAGAAGTTAATACCTGGAATACCCGTGTAAAGTTTCATGAATTTGGTCGAACACTTTAGTCAGGAACCTGAGGATTGGTTTTAGTTTGGTATTATTTTGTTTACTGTCCTATCAACAGCTAAAATCATTTAAGGAAGTGCCTCAATGTGTGTTGTGTATGCATGCGTGTGTGTGTGTGTGTGTGTGTGTGTTTGTGTGTGCAGGAGACGGGGCATGTTGGCTGTATTGCCTCCTTGTGATAAAGTTGATCTGATGCCGACTTTATAGTGCTATCTCACTGAAATACCATGCCGAAGGCACCCAGCACCGCATTCTGCAACCGGTTAAACCAGTTGTTGCCATTCCCATAAATGCTGAACTTTAAGCAGGAACCTGAGAAAAAGCCAAATAACTAATTTTCCCACTATCATGTAAATATTCTGCAGTTGTAACTTTGACCTTGACTGTATGACCATGACTTTCTACTTTGTTTTTATAAATTAGTATATTTAGAAATGCTTGTTTTTCTTAAAAATTGGTTGAAAATGTGGGTTTGGATTTTGCAGACAAGCCGAACATGAAAGTTTTCCATCGTCATATATAGGTGAAAAATGAAGGAAATATCTATTTATGTTTCTTCCCTTATTAATTGTTTATGTCATTTTCCTCATACATTTGGTACCTATAGTATTGTTTGGCCCCTTGTTGTTAAGTATCATTTGGTATCCAAGGGTTATGGTATGAGAAACCCACTTATGAAGAATTATGGTATCTACAGTTCTTTAGATGATTTTTTAAAATTTATATAAAATTGATCATTTTTACTCCTTTGAGGCTCCTAATAAACTGCAGCTAGCCATTTTAACAAATTGGAATCTCAATCACCTAGTTTGCATTGTTCCTTCAGGTTAAGTACCGTAGATCTTTTTTGTACTTCTAGAAAAATAGCGATAAGAAAATTGAACTGTCAACATATAGGCCTTTCAGTTCATCATTAGAAGTTGCTTGAGGTTTTAATCAATTAGACTTGTGACCTTGAACATTGGTAAAGGTCATTTCTTTTCATAAACTTTGTAGCATGTCATGCTAGCAAGCCACTGATCAAATAGCATGACTCGAAGCCTTTCAGTCTTCAGAAGACTTTATTTGAATGCTGTAACAAATCTGAACATTTTGATCTTGAAAATAGGTCACAATTTTTTTATTTTTACAACCATTTCAGCAAGCTACTGACCAAATATCATGACTCTAGTCTTTTCAGTTCTTAATAGAAGACGATAGGTTTTAACAAATTTGACTCCAGTGACCTTGAATATGGGTAAAGGACACTTCTGTTTGTAACTTTGTAGTATGCCTTACCACTATGCACAGCATGACTCAATGCCTTTCAGTTCATTAGAAGAAGTTGTTCGATTTTGTTTTTTTAAACCCCTTTGACATTGAAAATAGATCAAGATCATTGTATATAAAAATAATATACATGTTATTACAATGTATGTATATCCCCCTAGTTAAATTGTATATCCCCTAAAGCTCCAGTGACAATACTTCATCTAACAATGTAAATCCACTGGAATTAGTAACAATGTATATCCTCAACAATTACATGTACCAGGTATATCCACTTTGGTAAAAATGTACATGCAGGCTGTCCAGCGTCCCTAAATTTCCTAAAAAATCCTTTTTTTTCTAGTTTTGCTAAAATTCCTTAAAAAAAATTGAATTCAAGGGGAAATCCTAAAAAAGCCCTGATTTTCATGTCAATTCCTGGGTTTTTTTATGTTTCTACTCTAGCAATTTTGAAAATGCATTCATACTAAATGTGTCTTAATGTAGTTTGCAGTTCTTATTCAGATTATGCATTGAAAGGCAGTTGACCAGTGGATCCTTGTGGCCAGCTTGTTTATTGGCTGTGACTTTGTGACAAAGATGTGACTATTAAGGTTATAGCCAATAATAGCTGAGACAATGGAACCCTGGAAGACGCCCTTCCTGTACCCTAAGTATTTTTTGTGAGTTTCTTTATTATCAAATTTACGAAAGTAAGTCCATTTAAATGTCTAAAACTGCCCTAATTTAGTTATAAAATTTCTAATTCTAGCCCTAAATTATCCCTAAAATTCGCCCTTATTTTTTGTCAAAAAGTGCTGGACAGCCTGATAATATGTATCATTCATGAGGATTACAATGCATTTCTTCTCAGGACTACAATATGTATATCTAAAGGTAGCTGCAACATCACCACCCTTTAAATTTTAAACTTGTTCCATGTGAAAAAATTAAATCAATGCAAAGCAAGGAACAGCGTCACCAACCAGGCCGTATAATGGCAGTGGAGGCATTCTCTTGTAGCAACCTTATGGCTAACGGGAAGACTAGATAATCAGCTGGCCACTGATAGAGTCCTGATGTACGCTGAAATCCTTCAGTCATTTCTGGACAATTTTTAAAATATCACTACAACTTATTATGAAACTTAAATATAGCATCAACAAGCATTTGATTCATGCAGAACTACAATCAAGATTTACGTAATATTTTAGAACCAACAGCATCCCCCTTCCCTGTGCAAATAATCCAAAATGAAGTATTCCACATAATATATTACCGTAAACAGAATACAAGATTTCTATTTGAAATAATCAGTATATAAGTGTAAACAATTTATACAGGAATATGATTAGCTCAAAGTATAAGTGATATCTGCATGTAGGGTCACAGTGGCCAAGTGGTAGAAATCCAGTTTCCCTCAACCATCAAAATCTGACTCCTTCTTAAATTACCATTGCTGTTATAAAACCAAAAGCACAAACAAACCAAACCAAGCCTAGCATGTGTCAACCAAAAACTGGATGTCTTTATAAGTGAAATGTTAAACAACGTCTCGATATCTACATAACTATGATGAGTGCCAAATCACAAAAAATCTGTAAAAGACAACTAAATACATATTCTTGGTAAGAGACCAGATGGACATTTGACTGGACTAAAGTTTTTTTTAAACATATATGACTCCAGTGACCTTGAAAATAAATCAATTGTAAGTTCCATTATTTGAAGAGACTTTATAGCACACAACCTCAGGTAGTTAATGGCCAAATATTTATGATTGCATATCTAATACAAGAGGCCCAATGGGCCTGTATCGCTCACCTGGTATAAATCTCACACTTGTAACCTTAAAGTGATCTAAAATAACGCTACAGGCAAAATATCAGTATTTATGAATAAAATTCATTCAAAAGAACCTGGTTTTTTTTTTTTTTAATTTCAC